ATGAGTTAAGAATGATAGTGGGCGAAGGGGTCAGGAAGATCGGGAAGATCGAAGGGCGAGAGGGACACAAAGAGGTTAGGGACGATGGTAGACGAGGGGATCAGGAAAGAAGAGGGGAGGGCGGGTGGGGGTGGGCGAAAGGATCAGGAAGATGAAAAGGGAGGGAGGGGGGTCCGACGAAGAGATCAGAAGAGTTGAGGGGGGTGGGGGTGTGAATGAGTTAAGAATGATAGAGGGCGAAGGGGTCAGAAAGATCGGGAAGATCGAAGGGCGAGAGGGACACAAAGAGGTTGGGGGCGATGGTAGACGAGGGGATCGGGAAAGATGAGGGGGGGAAGGGTGGGGGTGGGCGAAAGAATCAGGAAGATGAAAGGGAGGGAGGGGGGTCCAAGCCGTCGATGGATGATCCCAGCGATGCTCACGCTGCTCTCGTTATTCACGCTCCAGCAGTTCGGGATGTCCCCCGGACCGTGAAGAACACCGTGTGGTCCCAGGATGTCGATCTATGAACTCAGCGATCGTCTCGCTATCCTCGCTCCAACAGCTCATGCAACCTACGCAACGGAGAAGGTCACCGTCTGGTCCAAGCCGTCGGTGGATGATCCCAGCGATGCTCACGATGGATGATCCCAGCGATGCTCATGATGCTGTCGTTATTCTCGCTCCAGCAGTTCGGGATGTCCCCCGGCCGGAAGTCCCCATCCCAGCGACGCCGCCACGTGGCATCGATTGTGAGATTCACCCCCTACCGCCGGCTCTTTTGTTCCGTGCTCACTGCGTCCCCGTCTCCGGTCAGTACTCGTTGTGCCAACTCGTCATCTCGTTGGCGATGGCACTCCGTTCCGACCACCAGCTGTTCGCTCTTATCATGTCATCCTCCCAGGGCGATCACGTCCTCCAGGCGCCGCCACGTGGGACCCCTTGCACGGTCCACCCCATCCACCTGCCCCCCCATCCGCCTGACGCTTTGCGGTTACCCAGTTGTGACTGAGTACGCCGATCCAACACCCCACCGGTGTCAACGATCCGGAATCGCCGACTCACTGACACGTGTTGTCGTCCCCTTCCTTCTGTTACCCATTCGCTGCACTCCCCAGACACGCTGTCCGCTGATCACACTTGTCGTCGTCGCTCCCCTTCACTCTCCCCCAGATTGTCCTCCTCCACTCTCCTTCTAGAGTCCAGCCTCCTTACCTAATGCTCATCGCCACTCCCTTCGCTCACCCACTGGCCTCTGTCCTGCTTACCCAATGCTCGCCGCTATCCGCCGTTCCGCTGATTCGTCTTCAAGACTTCAACATGCCAATCCTTCGTCACGCTGGCGTCAACGCACCGATCTCGCCCCACGTGAATAGATTCACTCTGGCACACATGTGGCCAGGGGCTGTCGGTGCACAATTCTCCCAGGGCAGCCGTCGTGCATGACAGCCATCTCCAGAAGGATGCACGAATCCTGGCGGGCGGGCCCTGCCGCCCGCGGGTCGCGTAGCGCTAGCGTTTTCGTGGGGAGCCGCGGAACCTTGTTTGAAGTATGTCAGGTGCCCATGGCTTTCATTGTGAGTTGTGATCTGTCAGTTGCAGCAGATGTGAGGTCTACATGCTTATGCCTATGTGTACTTGTCCTTGCAACTGTATGGGTATGCAAATGTGTAAGCTGTGATTTCCTTATGAGAGGCTGTGTCTATGAGCTTTCTACTGTTTGCCATGCATTTTTTGCAACCTTGGACACTGTCAGGCATGCTGCAAGCATTTGTCGTGTAATGGAGATGCGGTGTGTTGTGATTTATGAATTGTGCTGAATATAAGCACTATGAGTATGTATCATCTGTTTTCGCAATCACTTTTCTAGTATCTCTTTTTCTATTACTGTTTTCTGTCCCACCCCTTTTTTCTTTTTTTGAGCAACAATGATGTTTTTTACTGGTCTTAAGATGGAGAGCTCTACTCTGCAGAGGCTTTCACAAAGGTGGGAGGTGAAGACCCCGTCGGGAGCTAGGGCGGATTTGGTGGGATGCTCAAGTATGGGACTGGGTCAGCTTCCGATCCCAGCGGTGGCAGATAAGGGCAAAGGAATGGCTGAGGCAAACTTTGGGTAGAACTGTTGCCTTGGTGGGAGTAGGGGGAGGAAGTAGGTCTGTTCCATGTTGGGACTGATAAGGAGAGCTTGTGATCAGAGTTCTCCTTCTCAACCGAGGCAGCAATGGGACAGGGGGAGAAGGGGGGGGAGAGGGGAATCATCTATCTTCTTTTTTTATTCTCCTCTTTTTTTTTTTTTTTTTTAACAATTGCTCCAATCTATTCGTTTGAAAAAAAAAAAAAAAAAAAAAGCCCGAAACGGTGTTAGGAGTGCTGATAAGAGCAGCCACCAGTAACACTTTTCAGGGAGGATCCATCTATTGGTGGGGAGCAGCACCTGCTGGAAACTGGGTCGAGCGTCCCAGAACATCATGTTTGCTTGTTTGTACAGACAACTGATAGTAACGACTGCTGGGCGCATAACCCACCCTCGGTGAAGGAAATATGCTGGGGCTACACGACTACCCAGTAGCCTGGATTGATTGCCTACATGACAGCCTATGTTATGTGATAAAATACTCGATAGTGAAGACTGCTTTCATCTACGATCATCTATCATTATCCCCAGTGTAGGCAAACAAACCTCCCGTTCCCCATCCCCCACCCTTTGGAACGCAACCTGTTTAACCAATGTTAGACAATGTTAGTTGTCATTAAGCCTTCAGTACCTCTGCTGGCATTGGTGAGTGTAGGCTAAACCCGTAAACCCTCCACCCCTGGACTATCTCGTGGAGTGCAAAAAAACAGGTAAGCCAATCATACAGTTGCAGGAGGAGGCACTGGGCCTCTGTCCCACATCGTTGACCTGTTTCCCTTGTCTTCGCCGCTCACCGGCGGCAGTGCTCCATGTCATGCTCTGCTGGTGCCTCTAGCCTTGTCAGGGACAGTTTAGCGTTGGTGAGGTAGACGCTCGCGCCTCGCTGCTCCAAGTCTTATTATTCATGTCGTTCATGTCGTTCATGTCGTGGCTGCTGTTTTCATGGTGTCCATGGTGGTATCTGTCTGCAGTGGCGGGACCTCTGAACCGTACACCTCTCCCTTCTTTCCACACCTGGCAGCAGTACACCATCTGCGGCCTGTGCATGTTAGGTCCTCTTTGTTATGGTCTCACACCCTGGGGGACAAGGAAGGGGGGGTGTGGAGGAGGTGGACAGGGTGGGGTGGGGTGGTAGGGTTAGCGGGGTGAGTTGCGGGGTCAGTGGCTGGGGACTGGGGTCGGGGCTGTGGCTGTGCGACTGAGGACTGGCGGGAGAGTGTCTGCGGTGGCTGGGGTGGTGGCTGAGGTGAGGAAGCAGGGGGGGGCAACGAGGGGGGTATGATAATGATGTTGGGTTGCAGGTACGGAACCTGGAAGCAGTGGAAGGGTTGTCTCTGCCAAGACTGTTCCATCATCCTCCATGGCTTCCATTGGATGTTGAGACCTACATCTAGCTCAGCAAAAATTATGTGTGGGTCTTGCCAAAGTTGGTTATAAGTCTCCCTTAAGATTGCCCTAGCTGCGGGCTCCTTTTCCTCTTTGTACTCCCGTCTGAACGATTTTCATGCCCCGTATGTACAAGACCTAACTCCAAGCTAGCATAATTATTGGCACCTCGTATAGAGAAAGAGGTTGGTTGCGAAGGGGGACCATTGTGCTAGCAGGTACTGGTTCTCACCCAACAGAAGCAGCCCGTCCCATGGAAAATGTTGCGCTGTGAGGGAATGCAAGGCCTCGGCCAATCTATTCATGTGGAGCAGCATGTGCTGGGAACCGGGCCCAGCATCCCTTATCATTGGAATACATTGATGGTTAATGAAAAATTGGGATGATTCAGGAATATTTCAAGATCATTGAGATAATAAGTTAGAGATTGATGCTGACTACTCAGAATGCTTATCTACTCAGATCTCGCATACTACCACAACCCTAATCTCAGATATCCATACTAACCAGCCAGTCTCTACCGAGTCAATACTGTATACCAACCAAGCCTCTACCCGGTCTCACACCCCATCTAGCTAGGTTACAGGGCATGCGGTAAGGAATACTTTCTGCCGCAAATTGAGGCT